GTAGAAAACCCCAAAGACTCAGTTAAAAAGCTACTAGACCTCATTGGAAGATTCAGCAAAGTGGCAGGGTTTAAGATCAACATACAAAAATCAGTTGGATTCCTCTATACCAAAAATGACAGTGTTGAAAAGAATATTAGGAAAGCAATACCATTTACAATAGCCGCCCAAAGGATGAAATATCTAGGAATAAATGTAACCAGAGAAACAAATGACTTATACAAAGAAAACTACAAAAACACTACTATAAGAAACCAAAAGACACCTACAGAAATGGAAAAATGTACCATGCTCCTGGATAGGAAGACTTAACATTGTGAAAATGTCAATACTGCCCAAAGCAATCTACACAAATAATGCAATCCCAATTCAGATTCCTACGACATTCTTTGAAGACATGGAAAAAACAATTACAAACTTTACATGGAAAGAAAAGAAACCCAGGATACGCAAAGCACTGCTTAAGAAGAAAAATAAGGTAGGAAACCTCTCACTATCCAACTTCAAAATTTATATCACGGCTACAGTGGTCAAAACAGCTTGGTACTGGTACAGTGAGAGATACACTGATCAATGGAACAGAATCAAGAATCCAAGAATTAACCCATCCACATACAGCCAAATGATTCTTGACAAAGTGCCTAAATATATTCCATGGGGAGGTGATAAGTCTCTTCAACAAATGGTCCTGGCAGAACTGGAAAGTGAATATAAAAGATTCAAACAAGACCTTCACCTCACACCTTACACAAAAATCAACTCAGCATGGATTAAAGACGTAAATGTGAATCCCAGATTTATGAAGGCCATCAATAAAAACATAGGGACAAATGTGAGGGCATTAATTCAGGGAATACACAGACAACAAAACATTTTGAAAACTACACAAAAGCAGGCAAAACAGATGACTGAGACATACTAAAAATTAAAAACATGTACATCAAAAGGCTTCACCGGAAGAGTAAAAAGGGAACCCACAGAATGGGAAAAAATTCTTTTGCAATGACACATCAGACAAGGGACTCATTTCTAAAATATATAGGAAACTGCTACACCTCTACAAGAAACAGACAAATAACCCAATTAAAAAATGGGCACAGGACATGAACAGACACTTCACCAAGGAGGACATCCGGGCAGCCAACAAACATTTGAAAAATGTTCACAATCACTAGCCATTAGAGAGATGCAAATGAAAACAACAATGAGATATCATCTCAAACCTGCAATAATAGCAAATATAAAACAGGTTGTTGTTGTTGTTAAGTGCCGTCGAGTCGGTTCCGACCCATAGCGACCCTGTACAGGGTTTCCGAGGGTGTAAATCCTTACGGGAGTAGAAA